TAAAAAAAAATTTAAAAAAATCATTATCCTCAAATTATTCTAAAATAACATTCTTTCAAAATTGGTTCGTCTATATTATATTTAAAGACCAAAACTTTTTAAGTTTTAATGATTTCCTGATAGTTAGGAGAACTGTTATAACTAAAGGTATAGACTCTTGCACTAGATTTCCTGCTTTCCAAATATCTGCTGCTTACTTGCTATGTGACCTTAGGAAAACCACTTAACCTCTCTGATTCTCAGTTTTATCATATGTAAAATGAGAAAATGATAGCATTTATGTTATAAGGTTATTGTGAGAATTAAATTAGTTAAAACAAGTAAAGTACTTATATTGGTACCTGTTTCCAGTGTGTTAAGCTAATCTTACTATTCTGTAAAAGCTAATTTCAATGAAAAAGAAAAGGCTAAAGAATCTGGGTTTGAGCTAATAGGAAAGTATTTTAAAGTTTAAAATCTCAATCTTAATTGCTCTCTGCCTTTGAGGGCATTAGGACTGTAAGAAGTTAACCCGCTTCAGATACTGTACGGGATATTGGGCTACCTCTGTCAAAAGTGTTTGGATGCATGGCTTATTGATTTTATTCTCTATTCTTGCTCATCTTTTGGATCTCAAATATTTCCTGAATCTATTAGCTCTTTCAGTCCTGATATGCTCTCAGAATGCACAGCTCTTCACTTTGAGGCAGTTATTACACTTGCATTTAAACAAGTCTTTAATTGTTTGTTATCATCAGTCCCCATAGAAGAGGTAAGCTCCTTGAGCATTCAGAAAGCCTTTGTTTTGTACATCATTGTATCTTCAGTGATGAAAAGTGCCTTTGCGCACAGTATGTTATCAATGAGCATTTTTAAATCAGTGAGTGAATATATGAGTTAATGAATGAGTGAATGAATCTTTCAGTATGTGTCTACCTCAAAGCCTTCTCTCCCAGGTTTAGCTTTATCGTTGAGTTTCCCCATAACAGTAGGGCTGAAACTATGCCTTGAAAGTATTTTCAACCCATACGATGCTTAAATTTGCCTCCCATAGAAGCAGTTCTATATTAAATGTGTGTTATCTAAACATTTTTCAAATATTGCTTTCCCTAAAGATGTTCTTATTTCTAATAAAGGTAGATATAATTTATAATCTAAGCAATGATGCAGAAGTATAAACATGTCCATGCAAACT